GGCACAGATTTTACTACATATTTTTTTACTAAATATTTTTTTTTTTCCATATGTTTGACTGACTGTATGTTTTATTATGATAATGAACAGGCTGTATTGTCAAGGTAGCAATGCTTAACTGTGTGCGTGCATGCAGCGCCGGCGCAATCACTTGAATGTTTTCCTTCTAACAGTGGAAGCAACTACTCCTTTTAGTCCTAAAGATAATCGGAATTGTAAAAGGTTTGCCTTTATTTGTGTACATTCACAATAAAAACGAATCTTTGTGCTTTTGTAAAGTAACTTAAGCCTAAAGAAAAATAGGATGCCGCTTTCTGCCATCTGGTTTCCTTTTGCGCAGCACAAAAATGAACCGAAACTCTGCATACTAGACTACTTTTTGCACAGTTTTTCTTTCATTTTCTTAATTTATTATTTAAGTAAAAATATATTTCTCGTATAGGCCTATTTATTCGTTCTAGTCAGTCAGAACTCCAGACTATCAAGTCACTGTAGGCTGGTTTAAACTGATGTTTTTCAGCAGCACAGTCAACCATGGTGATAAAAGACAGATTTCTGTCCATTATTCATTTTCCTCTTTTTCTGTTCCTCATTTCTGTCTGATTTTGCAGCCAAACTATGTGCTACAGACGGATGAGCACCGAGCGGGGCTTCTGGCAAGATATGGCCCAGAGAAACTCTACCAAGCTGAAAGAAATTTTAACGCAGCACAGGACTTGGACGTGTCCGTACTGGAGGGAGACATAGTGGGTGTCATCAAGCAGCAAGATCCCATGGGCAGCCAGAACCGCTGGCTAATAGACAATGGAGGTTTGAATCGCATTATCTGTGTGTGATACATGTGTCAGCATTTCCTAAAATACATTTGGCTCAAACACACTCTTTTTTTGTTTGTTTTCCCTCTAGTTACAAAGGGCTTTGTGTATAGCTCCTTCTTAAAGCCCTACAATCCACGCAGGAGTCAGTCGGATGTTTCCATTGAGAGCCAATCATCAAATGAGTCAGGCTACGGTGGCTCCTCTCCCATGTTCTCACGGCAGAATAGTAACAGCACTCTGACTTTCAACCAGGAGACATCGACTATCAGCTTCACAACGGCGATGCCTCCACACACTCGCACAAATCAAGAGACCACTCTGAGAAAAAACAGAGAGGCTTCTTCAACCAACAGTCAGAGGGATTCCCTCGACCCCACCTTCAGAAGCTCGCCCAGTAATAAAGAACTGCCTGAGACAGCCTGTCGAAATAACCGGGAACACTCAGAGCCCTCCTACCGAAATTCCACCGATCACAGAGACTCTTTAGACCCTGATAAAAACACTCCTACCAATCACAGAGACCCTTCAGACTTCTCTGAGACAGATTCTTGTCCCTCCAGTAAGAACTCCAGGTATGAACCATCTTCGAGGTACCACGACTCGCGTGATGGTTACAGCTCACAGCAGAGACAAAATGGAGACCATTCGATACAGCAGAGAAGGCCACAGTACAGTCCTGAGGAGTATATAGATCCAGAGCCTGAACCTGAGATAGATGGACACCAGGTATGTGGTGAACTAAATCACTCCAGAATTCAGTGATTGCATACTTCAATCACAACCCATTTTACTTTCCAAATGTGACCAATTTTATAGTGAAACAAATGAGAATATGACATGTTAATTAACAATTTTGTATACACATTGCATAAATAAAAAAATAATTAAAATGCAATTACAAAATGAAATATAATTTGTAATAAATATAATGTATAATAAAACAAATAAACTGTATCACTCAATATCTTTGATTTACTCATTAATAGGTTCGGTTTTGTCTTGTCATGTTGAAAATCTTCTTATTACCGGTAGTTATTATTAGTTAGAAGTTATTACACCATTTGATCTTTAAAAAATTGTGTATAAATTAATAATATAACTGTATAGTAATTTGGAAATTAAATAATTTGAAATAATGATTTTAAATAATTTTATATAATTTTAAAAATAAATGATTTGTAATAAATATAATTTATATGTAACAAAATAATTAAACCACATTATAATATTAATATACAATAAAATAACTGAACAGGTTTTACTTCTCGTCAATGATTATTCATATTCATTTATCTACTTTATATTTTCTTTCAGATATATTACGCTCTTTACTCCTTCAGTGCACGGTGTGCAAATGAGCTCAGCATTTCAGCCAATCAGCGAGTCCGAATCCTTGAGTTCCAGGACATGAATGGCAACCAGGAGTGGTGGCTGGGGGAGGCAGGAGGAAGGAGGGGTTATGTCCCATCCAACTACATCCGCAAATCTGAGTACACATGAGCTGCACATTTGAACTAGAACAATCCCCTACTACCCCAGACCACTACAGGCAAACTCATTACAGGGAGAACACTACAAAAGGACGTTTTTGTGCCTTAACTATAGAGGCGATGCACTGATGTGGTGAAATGGTCATTGCTACTGATGGAAAAAAATAATACCCTCCATATTGACTACAGTCAATGAATGTAACTCCTGACTCCTAGTGGTCATAGAGGATGGTGCAGGTGGAATTTGAAATAATGAACTAATTTGGACTGTGAGGCGGTTTGGTTTTGGATTCAATGATCTGACATGTTCTGCTGTTCTTGGATACTCCATTTATAGTGTTAGCGCTTAATTGCTCCGTCGAGAGCATAGATCTCTTTTGATGTGTAGGAGTAGAGTGGAGGACTTGTATTGGGCATGTGCGATTCACACTAATGGGATTGGTATTCCAGGACTAGCATGATAGTGATGCCCATAAATAAGAGTGCAAGAGAGTGAATGAGTGTTTGTTTGTGTGCCAGTGAGTGTGTAGAGTGTTTTGAGATGTTGCCTCCCTTCATCTGACAATCATAGTATACCTAGAGAGAGAAAATAAAAGATTCCGCTGGGTTTCAGTGAAGGCGAACAAAATATATATGAAGTGTTTGGATTTATTCCCCATTATGTTGCTCAGATGATAACATAATTACCACTGGTGACCATATCATATTCCTGAAAATATGAATGAAATGCAAGAGACACTTTTTTAAGGTACAGTGTTTTTAACGTTTTTACTTTTTGATAGCATTAAGTTTGCCACTTGTACTTGAATGCATTTACAAGTTAATACTGACATGTTTTGAGCAGTTGTGAGTTCAAGGCACCTGTGAGATCATTTGATGTGATGCGCCAACAGATGAACTCTGAATATTTATCTCTCATGCTGTATATACTGAGAATGAACTTCTGCACTCCAGTGTCAACTGATCCAGTCATCTATTACTTTTTCTTCCAGAATATGCTGTCTCTCCTCAGATGCTGGATGCTAACGTTTTCTTAATCTCTCAGAAGCATTGTATGCCTGGTAATGTCTATGAGAACAGAATGGATGATTCCATGATGCGTGCTGGATATATGCAGGGAAAGACTGACTCTTGTCAGGTGTGTTCCAGCGTCAAATTAAGTTCTATTAAAATACAGAAAACAAATTCTTATTAAAAAGCTCATTACTTTTTGACTTGTGTTTTAAGACTATAGTAACATTTTCAAAGTCAATAAGTTGTCTGTTTGTACACATATCCAAGTAAAAATGTTTGGAGGTCTAAATGACAAATTTAATCTGGAAAACTTCATATTTTAAATTTCACCAAGAGCCACTGAGTGTGAATCCATGAAGAAGATCACACATGTACCAATACTTTGCGTATCGTGCAATTTATTTCCAGTTGAGGAAGCTTTAATTTGCTTCTTTACACCAAACATAAGAGACATTGACAAACTAGTAAAATAAAAAAAATGGGTATACATCAAATCAGCCATACTCGGAGAAAGAAAACCTTTATTATCATTCACATGGAAATTACGACTAAGTGAGCATGTCACAAATTATAGAACTTCCGGAGATGTGAAATAAGCTCAGATATCTGCCTTATAGGTATTCACAAAAGGACTTTCTGCAAAAAGAATATATGCTGCAGCCAAATTTTAAAGAATCAAATCAAGGCGTTACACAGGAGCAATCAGGAGAATACTGGAAACAGCCAAGCACTCTGCACCGCAACACGCCACCTTAACAGCTAACCAGCAAAACTCAACTGCTACGCAACTGCGCCTAGTGCATAGAAAATACACAAGAGAGAATATTAGAATCATGTTGTTGTGAAATTTTCCATTTAAACCATAACACCTGCTCGGTTAGCAATCTTTATGATGTCACGGTTTTACATAGCAAGATTTTTTTAGTGGCCAAATTTCAGTCTCTACCCAGTCCTTTAAGGTCAAAGAAATATTCACAACATCCAAAATTGTCCATTAATAAATTTATTACAAACAAAAAACTGATTAAAATGAACTTACTTTAGTCTGGGAGAAAAGAAAAAAAAAGCCAAACTACCAAGAATGAAGAGAAGTGATTTCACTTAGTAGCCCAATTTAGGCATAAAGATCATTTAATATCACATGGAATTCAAATGTATGATACAAAAACAATTGTGGGCAACAGAAAAGAAAAAAAGAAAAAAAAATTCATCATTTAAAAGATTGACCAAATTACAATAACCTTTCGGTCTGATACATGGATAATTTGGGTATCCTTAGACGGACATCTGTTCGATGCGATCCTCGAAGATTCAACCAGCTGACATCTAGAAGAAAAGAAGAATTAAGTTAGTTCCAAAGAGCAAAACGGAGGTGGTTCTACAGTAGTCGTCATAAAACGAGGCATTGCATATTACGCAACGCTCGATAGCTGGTCCTCAGTTATACAGAACAAACAGGCACTCTTTCCACACATAACGAGAAACTAGCCATATTTAAATTTATTCTATGGACCTCATTTTTGTTCTGCAAGATACCTCATGTACCTGATGTTTGTTCTGCAAGAAACCTCATGGATAGAGAGCCAACAAACCTGAGGGTGAAATTAATTTCTCATAGCCACTTTAAGTGTCGGCAAGCTGAGGTATAATTTATTGGCAGCCAACCAAGCTAGCCAATTATTAAACTAACAAATTCCTTGAAGTACTAAATTACAAGTCTGATTAAAATCAGACACCCAGCAGCCTGACAGCTTAAACTAGCTCTGAGAACACACCCCACATCCATCCCGCTTTTGCCTATGCCACGATAGACATGAGTTTGTGACAAGGATGATGAAAAGGTCTCAGTCCATTGTCCTGCAGACGTACCTCAACACCACCTCAACACTCAATGTTACCGACCTGCTCCATAGCAACCACCAATCAGCAGCAGGCAGCCAATGGTCGGATCACACACTAACTGCTCTCAAACTGCCCCAAACTCCTCTTTTGCAAACAGGAATCAGCAGCTTGGAGGAAAAAATTCCACATTTAGATGAAATCAATGGATTTTGGCTGGTACACGTTTCAAAACAAATACTTACGGTATCATACCCACGCCAGCTCCAAATCAAATATCCATTGTGAGGTTTAGGATGTGAATTAAAAATAAACCCTTAAATCATGCAGAAACGGAGATACCAGACAAATGCTGCGAATAACAGCTCCAAACTAAATTTGGGTAAAACCTGAAACCTTTAAGATGATGCATCTAACCACATCTGCAGATGTCTTGAAGGACTTGGGGAAAGAGAAAAGTAGAGAGGCGAAACTGAGGTTTAGGATGTGAATTAAAAATAAACCCTTAAATCATGCAGAAACTGAGATACCAGACAAATGCTGCGAATAACAGCTCCAAACTAAATTTGGGTAAAACCTGAAACCTCCTTTAAGATGATGCATCTACCACATCTGCAGATGTCTTGAAGGACTTGGGGAAAGAGAAAAGTAGAGAGGCGAAACCAAATTTTAAGCAGCCATTTTAAGAGATCAGTGAGCTATGCATGCCTTCAATTTACCCCACTTCAAGCATGAGTTATATTGGGGTGACTAGATTCAGCAGTGGCTCCAGTATCCTCTGGAGATTTGGGTCTGCTTCTCGATCTGGATCGTGATTTGGATCCTTTGTTGGATCTAGTAGGAGTATGGCTCCTGGAGCGAGACTTGGACTTAGACCTCGAATGGGACCTGGAAGCCGATTTGGACTTGCTTCTGCGTGGTGTGCGGGTTTTGGAGCGGGAACGGGACCTAGATCGGGAGTAGGACCTGGATCGGCTGTAGCGGGACCTGCTACGGGAACGGCTCCTGCTCCTGGACCTAGACCTGCTGTGCTTCTTGCGCCGAGGACTACGGCTAAAAACATATCAAATTAACAAATTAGTATGAGGATTGTTTGCAGAGTGAAAAACAGCAGCTGGTGTACAGTATTACAAAACATTAAAACATTAGAATTAAAAGGCGAGTAACTTGTACACATTTAATTGTGAATACACAAGAACGTGCCTATTTGCATGTACATCACTTACAAAAATTACCAAGGTTTATTGTCTTAACCAAAATCAGTAATTCAAGTATAACGTTAATTACCACACGTTACCGCATTCAAACCACAAGAATCGTTTTTTCCTAATAATTAGATTCAAGGCGTTTAAAGCCAATTAAAAGTCAAGTTACCTCAACGTAGTCTCAACTTATTAAAAATGTCTGTTATATTAAAGAACAAATGTGCTGTAACAAAACCGCTCGGAATGGGTTTTGTTTTCAAACTGCTAGCTTACAACCGATTCAAAAGAACCGACTGATCACTTATCACAAAGTTGAGCAATTGTTTGGTACTGCGCCACAAAAACGACAGAACGATACCATACCAATACTATAAAAAAGGAAACGATTTAAATGTATTTAATTTAACTCAATGAATTTAGCTGCTTAGTGATAAAACAAATCACATTTATGAGCAAAACAAGGATTAACGTCATAACACATTGTGTTGAGGCCTGAGGCCTAAGGCCTCAAATTTAAGGGCCGCAGATGTGATCTTTGAACATGAACGGTAACTTAGTGGTTTAAAACGAAAATATTAAAACAAAAGACTGTATGTGGGCCTTACCTTCGGCTTCTCCGTCCATGTCCCCCGTACCTCCTCGGCGGGCCTCCGCGGCGGCTGTAATGCGAATCTGGCGGGCGCCCGTATCGCGCCATCTGCACGCGCAGTTCGCGCCCGTCCAGCAGCGCGCCGTCCATGGCGTCCATTGCATCTTCCGCGTCTCGCTTATCATGAAAACGGACGAAGGCGAACCCGCGGCTCTCTTTTGTGTACCGGTCTCTCGGGATGTAGACGTCCCCGACCCGGCCGTACTTTTCGAAAACCCGCCGAAGCGTTTCAGGAGACGTGCGGTACGTCAGATTGTCGACTTTTAAAGATGTCATGCCCTCGACGTCGGGTGGAGGTCTGCCGTAACTCATCTTGAATTACTAACCCTACTGCAGTACGTTATGCGAAAAATAAAAGAGCTACTAGCGAGATTTTCAGGAAAAATAGCTAACCATTCGGGAGAGTCCAAAGAAACACGCCGAGAGCAGATCACTCTCTAAAATGGCGGTAACCGGATGTCCGCGATTTGGTGGAGTTTGGCTTTTATTTTTATTTTTGCAAGGAGAGCACATACTGCCACTTCTGGTATTTCAGTGACACTACAGGTTATCTGATCTCACAATCTTCTCTTGACTGGGAACAAAGACCTGCAAATTTAGCACGAGTTTGTACAAAATGTAGGCTACCCTAATAAACAAGATCATTTATTTGACGCCGCCATACACAATTGGTATGTAGTGCATTTATCTAATTTAATTCAAATTTCCCAAATTGAAGTCAGCAGCCCAGAGTAACAAACGGTGGTTTCCTAAACAAGTAGTGAGATCCATGGACAAGTTTAGGGGGAAACTGTGTAGCCTATAAAACAGTAATAAATAAATAATAAAATCAAAAATAAAACTTAACCTTAACCTGTTAAAATTAACCCAGATTAAAATAAATAAGTAAATAAATGAGTAAATATATAATAAACCAGTACTAACTATAATGATGTAATAGGAACTTAATATTTTAGACATAGTTAAAAATTTAATTTTTCACAGTAAATTGAGTGTTTAGGCCTATACAAGAAACTATGCCTTTTACATTTTAGAATGGGGGTCCCTCATGTGAAAATTATCATATTTGCGGATCTGTGGCATCTACAAATGAGCAGGGTTTATTGAATAATTTTAGTTGTGTATGTTTCAGTGTTAAGACTTTGTCTAATCAGCACAAATACAAGTGTTCCAAATGACATCACAATGAAACTGTGATATTGTGAACACACACACACACACACACACACAAAACAAAATTCCATGAAACCCCACAATCATAAGATTAAGAGCACAGAACATAAGTTATCAATAAATAGCCTAAATAAATAAATAAAATGGTTTAATTGATTAAGTGATAGCTGGTATAAACTATCAAATGATAAATAACATGAATAATTTATAGAAACTATATAACTATAAAACTATAGAAAATCAAATAGCACAGTTGCTCTCTTGAAGCAATACACGGGTTGCTCCTGAACTAACGGCTGCTGTAAGTTGTCTGTGAAATTTATTTTATACAATTGCTAATAATTTAAATAATAATGATACATTTCAATTTCAATTGAAACAGAGCTGACACAAGGGCCACTAAATAAACACCAGTTGAGGTTCCCTTACTGCACTGCAGTGAATCACTTCCAAAAATTCGGGGAAGGCCACGTTTGGCGAGGCAGGATGTGTTTGTACTGCGCAAAACCTCAAGTCTAGATTTAAGCCTGACGTCAGGGGTGGCCAATAGCGCTTCTGAGGACAGTGAAACAGCACTGATCATTGAGCCACAAATCTCACTAGCTGAAATGATTTTTTTATTATTGAGAAATAATGTATACTTCCAGCAGGGGGCGCCAGGCGGCTCAGAGAGCTTAATACTCCACTGAGCTACATTCAGATCTCAGAATGCTTTTTTTTTTTATTTTTTACTGAAGACCTCTCTATACTTAACCTATAACCTTTTAAATGTATTAATCACAATGATTGATATATGACATATACATTCAAATCCGTCAAACCAATCTCTGTAAAACGATTTTTAAAAATCCTTATATTCTACCCGCAAACGACTGTGATTGGTCTATCCTTAACAGCGCAAAGAAAAGTAACAGGTAACACGTGCATATGCTACTGTCTCAGCCGTCTTTCTGTTGACAGAAAATTACAGAAAAAGTGAGTGGAAGTGATAATGATCAATTATTAATAGGAATGTTTCATATATACATAAAAGGAAACTTAAGTTATAACAGTTATATTTAGTGAAATATGGTTCATTATAGCTATAGGAAGTGTTGGGAAGTAAGTAGTTACATCAAAGACTGTAGAAATTGGTTACATGTAGGCCTAACTAAATTACGTAATTTAATTACAAAGTAAATTTAATTGTAATTAGTTACAGTTACTGAGAATTTTTTTTAATTAAATTACAGTTACTTATGAAAATGTTAAAGATTACAAAGGGGGTTACATCTATTTTATTTTATTTTTACACACACCCACATACAGATTGAATTGATTTCTTTCATAAATTGCATTGACTGCTCTGTTTCAGCAGTTTATGACACAGAATAGGACATATGCTTATTTGATAACTGGTTTATTTCCTATTTGGGTGTATGTAGTACATTTGTAGTGTAGTACATATGTAATTTTTTATTTTTTATTTTTTCCAAGCCATTGTTATATGCCAGTGTTTTCTGTCATAACTGTGCATGGATCTGATTTCAAAAACAGTATCATAGCTACTACACTATTTCTTTTTATTTAAATCTGTTTTAAATCTGTATTTAACATCAGAATGATCTCAAGTCTGATTTTGTGGTGGTTGTGCTTTAAAATTAAATTACGGTATTATAATCTTAATTCAAGCGATGAAGGATTTCGAAAATGACAGTAAAAATGATCAGTGTTGAGTACTACTGTAAGGTTAACCCTGCCTGGTTTACATGTTTGAAAATGATTAACAGTTGAAATCATTAGAAATTTAGAGAAGTAATCAAAAAGTAATTAAATGTAATAAGTTATGCCACATTACTTTAATAAAGTAATTGAAATAGCTACACTACTTATTACATTTTAGATTGTAATCTGTAACACATTACATTTCCAAAGTAACATTTCCAACATCCTGTGAAAGAGCATTTCTCCTGATGTTATATATGCATATAATTATATATTAATAAGAGGCAACATCCGGGCCTCTAAGCCCCGCCCATTTACAGAGAATGGTTAAAGTCCACTGCAGCTCTACCCTTATTCTGTTTCTGCATCCCATCGCTCAAGCGCTCGGAGAACAGAGGATACAGGGATGATGATGATAAACATACCGAGAAACTGTGTCATATAGAGAGCACCTCACTGCGCTTTGCAACTTAGCCAAGGATGCCGACCACGGAGGCAGGAACAGCCTTATAATAGGGCTTCAGTCTGCAGGACGCAAAGAGCAGCTTGTGTCTGCAGACAAAACAACGAGGGACTCTGTGCGAAGCTTACAGGGCATTAAGAGCACCAACTAATCCTGTGCATGGCAAAAAATATAAAAGCGAAGAGTAAAAAAACGGGCTTTTGCGTGAAGAAGGAGATGTTCGGACTAAAGAAGTCGCAGCAGCAGTAGGATTGCAATCATTCAGTGTTATTTCAGTTTTTAGCTATTGGAAATGGGAGCTTTGACAAGCCGTCAGAATGCAGGAGTGGAGGAGGTCGATATACCATCCAATTCTGTTTACAGATACCCACCCAAATCCGGTAAGAAAATTATATATTATTATATAGTATATTAATATTTCGTATTTTTATTATAATAAAATATTGTTCTTGTTCCTTTTATATTATATAATATTATAATATTATATTATATTAACAAAAGTCTATCTAAAGAAATAAACTGGCCCAGATAAACACAAGCTTGTTCAGACTGTATACGTTATAATTTTGGGGGCAAATTGTGTAAAAATGGGCATTTACAGTAAAATTGGCTTGTACAATTTAGTTAAATATTTGTCTTGCTTCTTCTTGTAATTGAAATTGAGAGGGTCCTTGTGTTCATTTGAACTCCAGAGGGCCTGAGCCACCACCCGCTGTTTCTTGGTCAGCAAGTCTGTCTCTGAAAGGCAGAGTAGGCCCATAGATGCTTGTCTTTATATTGATATGGGGCTCATCATTCCAGTGGTGCTGTGTCTACAGTCTACCGAAATGTATTTGATGATTTTGCACTCAGCATTAAACTGATCTGATATAAGTGTGTCCACTGTATGTAAATGGAATGTATTGTGACTATGTGGTTTACATGGATTATGCTAGATTAATATATTAATTTACTATATGTTAATTTTTAGATAACAGTATACGTGTATGTTTAGAAAATGCAACACTCATCACGTTAGTTTTAGAATGATTGTTTTACAAATCTTTGGAAATTTGAGAAGATGAGAAGATGTCAGTTTGTTAACCACAAGTCACCAGATGCTCTATATGTGCAGCTTGGGACTTGTGCCTGATTCTTGCTACCTTCTGCTCCAGTTTCAAGCTTGTTCATCTATCTACCCTTGTATCTTCCCATGGCGGTTGCTATCCTCTGTCTGCCCTTGAACTTGTCTTTCTTTAATCTATTTGTTCTCCAGTCTGCTATATCTGTCTTCATTTTCATTTTGAAACCTTTTACTTGTCTTGTGCCCAAACATCACTTTGGGGGAATGGAGGTTTTTGCATCTATATATTTCATACACAATTTAATAGTCAGCCTGTTTCTAAAAATTTAAATATGTATCTTTTACATAAAAGAACTGGCCTATTTCTGCCTGATCTGATGATAAAATGCCTTGGTGTTGGTGTAATACAATGTAGCCAGTTGAAATAATGAAATAAATTTTTTTTTTAACTTAAAACCAGTTCGTTTTGAATGGTTCAATATCTATAACATTTGATCTGTTCATTGTCTTTCAGGAAGTTATTTTGCTAACCATTTCATTATGGGAGGAGAGAAGTTTGATTCAACTCATCCTGAAGGCTACCTCTTTGGTGAAAATACTGACCTCAACTTCCTAGGCAACAGACCAGTAGTGGTAAGATTGCATTTCATTTCCTGGTAACATAGATGCAGCCATTTTGGCCGATGTTTATAGAATGTCATGAAACCACTGTTTTTGCTCTGTTCATTGATTTTACCTTGTGTGATCTCATTTCCAGAAAATATCAACAATATGCCTCATGACTCATTTTATTGAAATACATATTAATCACAGATATTTTAAAATGTGTGATTCTCATAATGATTTGCATTTTATATTATATGTCATTTGTGTTATTTTATAAGATTTTATAATATTAACATATTTAAAGACATTTTTAAATAAATATCTTCATTAGAAGAGGGAGAAGAATGAATACATTTCATACAATTACAATATACATATAAATCATTACATTTGAATATGATTTATAAATCTATTTTAAAATATATATTTTATTCTTAATTCTGACTCATATTTGAGCCTTTATGAGTCTGCTTGTTACTTTAACTTAATATTTAGGTTAGTTTAATGTAAATTACTATATGTTGGTGGAAGCTTTTATAATTCACAGGATTATACATGACTAAATGTCACATGTAATTGTATAGCTGTTCTTATACACTGCTTTGCCATATCTAGATTTTTATCCTGATATGTATGTATGCAGTGTTTGTGTGCTTTTATGAAACCATATGTGTATTTCTGTGTGCAGTGGGTCTTTTATTTACACTGTATGCATTAGCTGCTAGGCCCGTCTCTAAACAGACAGCCTAGTGATGCTGTGGATTTAAGCGATGGCTTAGCGCAAGTAATACAGAGAGCCACATTCAGTCTGAACTCCGGGGAGTGGGGAAGTGGAGGCGACAGGCTCACCCAGTGTTGACCCACACACGAACACACTCTTGATACCTCTCTGGCACGTGGGCATGCCTGTGCATTGCATTTTTCCAGGGCAAACACACACACACACATATGCATGCATCAGCACAACAGCTTGTTAGGAGATCAGTGTACATCAACTTCCTTTTAATGTGGCTTTGTTTCCAGATTATTTTTCAGTTTTGTAAGAGATCGTATGTGGGTATCAGATATGTGAGCTGATAAAACAGAACAAAGTGCTTCTCAAATATTGGTATAATCAATAACTTTACCCTCACTCTTGACTCTTGTTAGTTCCCGCACAATGCTCCCCCTCCACATGAGCCGGTCAAGACCCTCCGCAGTCTCATCAACATCCGTAAAGACACTCTGCGACTTGTCCGGTGAGATTTTCATGGCTAATATCTTTACTATACCTGACAGAGCTCTTAAAGCAATCATGTGATGAGTTCCTGTTTGGACATATTTGATAAAACAGCACATTTGGGTGGGACATGTTGAAAAGGTTGTCTCTTTTTTGAAAGAGCTAGCAGACTTTAGTTACATTTAGTTGATACCTGTATTTTGTATCTTATTTTATAGAGCATCTGATTAGATGGAAATCTGTGTAGTGCAAGAGAAGCCATAGGTTTTCCCATGTGAGAAAAATGTCAATTTTAAATGCATATTTCAACTAAAGGTTAATTTTTCAGTTTTTTAGCTGTGCAGTAGCATTTACATAGCTTCAAAGCTAAAAGACATGGGCCACAAAATTAGAATATCGTGTTAATGTAGAATATCTCTGTGAACAGCCACCCTTTTCAGTAATGACCTTCTGTGATTTACCTTCTTTGTGGAGGGTGTCAATGATTGTCTTCTTGACCATTGCCAAGTCCGCAGTCTTCCCCATTATTGTGGAATTTATACTGTAGGGATTGTCATTTAATGAAACTCAAATGTAAATATTCTAATATTTTGAGATACTGAATTTTTGACTTTCATGAGATGTAAGCTCTAATCATAATATATATATGATGTATGTATGTATATATATATTTATATATATTTGTTTGTTTATATACTCTTTTAGATGATGCATTTATTAAATATATTATTTATATTTCTGTGCATTAATATTTTTTGCTGAAATCTTAGTAAAGTTTGTAATTTTGTCTGCAGATGTAGTGAAGACATGAAGCTTCCTGGACAGGAAGTTGGGAAAAGCCACAGCTGCTATAATATTGAGTTTACCTTTGATGCAGACACACAAGTTACCATCACTATATACTACCAAGCCATTGAAGAGTTTCACAATGGTGTGCCAATGTAAGTTGAGCTTTAGACACACTTTGAGTATTCCTTGTTATTTATTTATTAATAGCACACTTCAAATTCAGCCTTTACCGGTTGATCAGAGAGCAGCAAGTTGGGAAATGAGATCAAAGCTTGGGTAACGGGTTATATTGCTCTGTTCATTGTGTGTTGTTGACAGATACTTGCCGCAGGACAGCTCTCTGCAGTCAGAGACGGTGCATTTCAAACGCGGCGTCTGCCAACAGTTCTGTCTGCCCTCTCATTACGTCAACTTATCAGAGTGGGCAGATGAGGAGGTAACACATCTGCTAGCTGTGACCTTTTGTGTTTTTGCCGTTTTTAGAGAGAGGTTAAAATAGGTCAGACTGAATTAATCTGTCTCGTTAATGAAATTATTGAGCAATTCATAATGCATGTCCTTAGAGCACTTTGGGTAAACCTGGTAATGTGGTTTATTGTTACACAGCTTTTGTTTGACATGGATAAAGACATCTACCCCATGGTTATACAAGCAGTAGTGGATGAGGGAGATGGTGAGTTTTATGTAATTGGATATTTTATAATATATATGTAGAAATATATATCTGGAAATAAATTTAAATATATCTGTCCATGTTTTTGTTGTGCAGAACACTTGGGACACTCTCATGTTCTTCTTGCAACCTTTGAGAAGGTATGCTTTTTTGTGTAAAATTTTTTTTTTATGTTTTGTATTTTAATGTTCAAAAGTTCGGGGTTGGTAAGATTTTTGAAAATCTCAAAAATACAGTGAAATTGTGAGCAATTTTGTGAAACTTTATTACAATTTAAAATAACAGTTTTCTGTTTCCTGTGTTGGCAAAGCTGATGTTTCAGCAGCCATTACTTCAATCTTCAGTGTCACATGATCCTTCAGAAATCATACTAATATGCTGATTTCATGCTCAAGAAACTTTCAAGAAAATTTCTTCTTATTATTATTAATGAAATCAGTTGTGCTGCTTAATATCTTTGTGGAAACCATGATAATTTTTTTTTCTGGATTCTTTGATGAGTAACTTTGAGTAATTTTTTGTAACAATGTGAAAGTATTTACTGTCACTTTTTATCAGTTTAAACATGTCCTTGCCAAATAAAAGTATTAAATTCTTTTTAAAAATATATACTGACCCCAAACTTTTAAACAGTATTGCATATTTATAAAAGAAGGTCTTTGTAAATTTTTCCATTCATACAGTGTTCCACATTTGCAAATTAGTATACAAATGAGGACTAGACTAAATGTAAAAAGGTGAGGTTGTACTATTTCTACCTGATCTAACACTAAAATGATCTCTGTTGGTGTAAACTAATGTAATCAAACTGATTCGGTCATATTAAATAATATTATTGGCATAGTTAAAAACAGTTTAGTTTATCTAACAAAAATAAATTCACTGTGACGATTAGTGATTATATAATGTCGCTGTCTTTTTCTCCTAGCATATGGATGAAAGTTACTGTGTAAAACCTCTGAAACAGAAACAAGTGGTAAGGATCCCCTTACTATTTATGTAATCTTATAGTTTACAAGAAGGTCAACTCATATTAAATGATTTTTGTAATATAAAAGTGTCAAATTTTCAATAAACTTCTTAATCTTATCGTGATTTTATCTTAGGTGGATGGAGTGAGTTACCTGCTGCAGGAGATCTATGGTATAGAGAACAAATACAACAGTCAGGAATCAAAGGTAAATCATTATCAGATTGAATCAGATTCAAAGACAGTAGAATGATTTAAATTATATAGTTGTCACTACTCTCTCCATATCAATTTTGAAGGACAACATCTGTTACTTCTAAGCTTTCATTCATTAATTAGTATCAATATATGAAAAATGACACACTCCTGTTTACAGGTGGCAGAAGATGAGATTAGTGACAACAGCGCTGAATGTGTGGTGTGTTTGTCGGACGTGCGGGACACACTTATCCTGCCCTGCAGACACCTGTGCCTGTGCAACGCCTGCGCAGACACACTGCGTTACCAGGCCAACTGTTGCCCCATCTGTCGACTGCGTAAGCACCAACCCCTGTACTGAACTCATTCAACAGGACTCTATTATTGAGATTATTATATTTATGAAAATGTAATTTTGCTTAGATTATATTTTTATCTATAGTGACTCATACATAAATGTTGTGGCGGGTATTTCATTAAATAAAACACTGGACATACTGACACTAGTTGATGCTGTTTTTTTATATTGTTTCAGATAAAATATTTGACTAATTTCAAATTTCTCCTTTTAATTCCTATAGCGTTTCGTGCCCTCCTTCAAATTCGAGCGATCAGGAAAAAACTGAGCCCACTCACACCTACTGAATTCAACCCTGTCATCACCTCACAGACATCAGATTCAGAGGAGCACTCGGTAACACACTATGTTTGTTTCAGAATGTTCATACAGAGCCTTATACAGAACAAATATATTTAAAGCTAAATAAATGCATTTATACAGTTGATCTAGCTTTACTGAGACCCAAATGTCAATGTCAAGAAAATAGCTGATTAGGGGTCCAATATAAATACTTTCCTGAGTTTGGTTGGTTGTGATGAGTACATAAAACTTTGTTAAGAGCATTAACTTTAACCCTCTAAATCTTGGCCTATGAAATAATAGTCAGAAAATCAGATTTTTTGAAATGGAACAGTTTTGTTGAACCTTCAGACAAAATCTAAAAAATATATTTGAGGAGAAAAGATCACATATGAAGAGACACAAACTGAGCAAAAGTATGCAATTTGGTACAGTTGCTGATATTTATATGGCCAAAAAGTAAGATGAAATTCTGACTGTAATGTAAATCAGTGAGATTTTTATAACAGCAAAGAAGGCTACTTACATAAAATGCAAACAAATATCATTAGTCCATCTATATCTCTCACTATTATGTCTTAGTAAGATGGTATTCAAATGCTTCGTTTTTATGATCAAAGCTCTGTAGTTTTTATTGTGGGGGGAAATCATAATGCAATGCAATGATGATATACAAATAAACGTTCCTCAAAAGCCTGGTGTATCATATTTGATGTTCATATTTTAACGTTTTTTTTTTTATGCTAAACTTAAGTTGCTTCAGTTCAGTAAGTGTACAACAGTTGTTTCAGCAAAGTTTTGATCATGTTGATAATTTAGAGGCCTTTGCATATTAAATACGATGCATTAGGGTTAATGGTTTAAGTAGTCAAACACTCTCTGATACAAGTTAGGTGCACAGTTTAATGCAAAAACACACAAATCATCTGTATGCACCATCTATTCATACAAAAAGTTGTACTGCACTGTTGTTCACAGCCACATGTATGTTTACTACAGGCATCAGAGCACATCCCACCAGGCTATGAAGCTGTGTCCCTGTTGGAGGCCTTGAATGGGCCCCTGAACCCGTCGCCATCTGCTCCTCCACTTCAGGGCCTCACCAGGGGCCATGTTTCTGGATCTGTGCCCACATATGGCAGTGATAGCCACCACACGCCCACGCGCTCCCTCTCTCCGCTAGAACACTCTGTCAACTCCAGCCAGAATGTGAAACACAAGAAGAGTGGCTCTAAGTGAGTGAACCCTAACTGAAGGAATGAATGGTGTAGTATTTCGGTATTACTGTAAAAAAAACCTGTTGTTTCATGTCTACAGAACATTTGCTGGGTGTTACTAAAACACTTTCCTGTCACTTTACAGCTTTTCTTGAAGGTTAAATGATGGGCTTAGGAAGCAAGCAGATAAATGAGTGGTTGCTAATGATGTATTCTGGGAACTCTCTAGATCCCTCTCCCAGAATTCTTCAGTGCTGCCTGAGGAGGAGGATGAGAAGTCATGCAGTGAGTCTGAAGTACAAACGTGCAGGAGAAAACTGCATGTAGAACAGCAAGAGGTGCAGGCTTTTTAGTATTTGTATATTTTTTTGTATACATTAATTTATGCATTTTTCATATATTTGCATTTGTCATAATTTTGGGGTCAGTAAGAGTTTTTGAATGTTTTTTAAAAACTGCATTTATTTGACCAAAAATACAATGAAACACTAATAATGTGAAATATCATTAAATAAAAAAAATTATATTTTAATATATTTTAAAATGTAATTTCTTCCCGTGATGGTAAAGATGAATTTTCACTAGCAATTACTCCAGTTTTCAGTGTCACATGATCTTCCAGAAATCATTCTGATATGCTGATTTGGTGCTCAAGAAAATTTCTTATTATTATGAATGTTGAAAACAATTGTGCTGCTTAATATTTTTGTGGAAATCATAATACATTTTTTAAGATTCTTTGATGAGCAGAAAGTTAAAAAGAACAGCATTTATGTGAAAAAAGTAGAATTTGTATATATTTCAAATAAATATATGAACCAGTATGATATGAAAGACTATAGAATACTCACAAAATTTTAGAAATAATATTTACTTTCATGTATTTATAATACAGTGTCCACTAGTGATGATGATAGATAATAAACATCAATCTGATCATCATTCTTGTATTGTGTATTTTACTGCAGTCTGGAGTGACTCCTGAAAGTGACAACATCACCCTGTCATCCTCAGGGGCCATAGATCAGTCCTCCTGCAACGGGACCCCTCTGTCCTCCACAATCACCTCCCCAGAGGGTACAGCATTACAGCTAAATCTCACTGAAACACACACCAGAGCTCATTTACATTTGTTTGTCTTCCTGTTCACTTCCTGTCCTGTTCAGATCCAGTAAGCAGCAGCCTGGCCCAGTCTGTGATGTCAATGGCGTCCTCTCATAGCCAGCACTCTCAGATTAGCACCGACACACTCTCTTCAATGTCCGGATCCTACACGGCTGGTGCCGAGGGAGAGGAGGCCGATGAGACCCCAGCAGAGAGCCGAGCGCCTTCCCAACATGAGGGTGAGGTAAGACAGTTAGAAGCCGGCCTAGAAGCAGGACAATTTGTTGCTTTCGTTTTTTTTATATTCAGATGCTTTAGTTCATGCTGATATTATAGTTTTTACCACCTAATAAACTAAACAGTGTTGGTAGTGGTTAATATTTGTTTTTTTTAAAGAAATAAAACTTTTAAAAAAATAAAGTTAAATTTATGTTTTTAGAGTGAGTGTTGCACTCACAATTGGAAAAAAAGAAAAATCCACAATAAAGTCATAACAGTTATACTGAAATTTAAACTATTTCTGATGCATATTCTCTAGTAAAAAAGCAATATATTAAAAATTCAGTTATTTCATACTAAGCATAGTTCAAATCTATTTCTAGGGGAAGTCCCTTCTAGGGGAAAAATCCACAATAAAGTCATAACAGTTATACTGAAATTTAAACTATTTCTGATGCATATTCTCTAGTAAAAAAGTAATATATTAAAAATTCAGTTATTTCATACTAAGTATAGTTCAAATCTATTAACATATTTACTGACATGTCACTGAGACTGAGAAAAAAATGTAAAAATTATTTAAAAAATTATAATTAACTTCTATTTGGAGTACTACTTGTACACAATGCACATTTCTTAATATTAAGCCTGCGCAGCGCTCTCTCCACCTTCAATACCACGACTGAGGTGTCCTTGAGCAAGGCACCGAACCCCCAACTGCTCCCCGGGCGCCGCAGCATAAATGGCTGCCCACTGCTCCGGGTGTGTGTTCACGGTGTGTGTGTGTTCACTGCTGTGTGTGTGCACTTTGGATGGGTTAAATGCAGAGCACTAATTCCAAGTATGGGTCACCATACTTGGCCACATGTCACGTCACTTCACTTAACATATTTACTGACATGTCACTGAGACTGAGAATTTTTTTTTTTTAATTATTTAAAAAATTATAATTCACTTCTATTTGGAGTACTACTTGTACACAATGCACATTTCTTAATATTAAGCCTGCAATGTGTTTTAATGTCACTATTAATGAGGATTGTATGATCTTTGAATAATATCAATCTTTAAAAGCTAGATATTTAAAATGTACCTAAAGTATACTTGCAGTAGTTCCAATTTAGCACAATCAAATATACTTTAGTATATTATTAGTTGGACTTCATTACATCCGCACAATTAAAGTGCATTAAGTACAAAAATAGTTGTTCCAATTTAGCAGACTTTAAGTTAGTATACTAAAAGTACAATTGCAGGGTATTTGTATTAAATACATAAATATGTAAATTAATTTGTAGTATACTTGGAATAAATGTATTTCAAATAAATTTTAGTGTATTAATTTTTCACTTGGGTTTTATGATTATTTTATGATTATTTAAAAAAAAAAATCACTTTTATGTAAAACATTTTATACAAAATTTGCTATATGAATACATTTGCCTTGCCTGTTTCATTGGCTAAGAAAATACTCTTTGTAAATGCAATCTCTATTAAATGGTTTAAAAGAAATTGGAAAAGTCATCGGGAAGTCATGGAATTTCATTGGTCAAAAGTTATCAGAGCACTGTAACCAAAGCTATAACTATCACCATTGCACAAATATTGATAAGTTTATGCCTATTCCTGCAAATCATTTATTGTGTCTTACAGAGAACATATTTACATGTGTCCGCAGGAAATCCCCAACGAGGCAAAAGGGCATAACTTTGTGGCTGCCATTCTTGAAGAACAGGATTCAGAGGTTAAAACATTCAAACAGCCAAGCATCTTAAACCAGCAATTAATTTTTTTACTTATTATTTACTCAGATTTGTGTTTTCCTTCTTAGGGAAATGATGTGACTGAGGAAGATTGCGCATCTCCCACCAAAGAACATGGTAATTGTAACCTCAGCTATTGGCTGTACTTATCACGACACTGTACACTAGATTAAGGAGAAAAACACTGCAATGTAGGTGGTATTTCACCTACAAGAGCTTCTAAATCTGCCTACACACCTGCTTGATGAATAACTTGTGTTTGCAGGTGGGCCAAAGGTCGCTCACTACAAATATAAATATCAAATGACTCATTTGAGGCGAATATAGTTCGATTTTCATGTTTTGTTTCAATCAGCCCACATACAAGCACATTTGGCATCTGAATTGTAATGAGTATCCAGCTTTCTACCTATTTATTATAACAAGTGTGCATCTGTATTAATGCTATATATTCTTTTGGCCAACTAATTGAGGGCAACTAATTAAGGTTTTGCTTTTGTTTTCTTTGTATTGTAACTAACTGCCATTTTGCATAGACATTTTTCATCTGTTTCTTATTTAATGTGTTGTATGCTTACTAATGTGAGGAAATGATTGTCCTAGTGTTTGTCGGTTGTGTTCTTGTGCACGCACCTCGCATCTGCTCGCTCTCACATGAGTATGTGTGCATCCATCAACCGCAGTCATCACTAAATGGCTGCCGAGTAGCATCCTGCGCCCCATCGCTATGACCCCACACTGCTGTACTCCACTCGGCTGCCCTGCCCTGCCTCGGCTGCTCTTGTTTGACCTCTGACCTCGCTTGCAGGTGGGCGCAGGAGGAGCGAGGTGCCTTGTCCAGAGTTTGACAATAACAATCAGGGGCAGTCTGACACCCACTGTATGACAGGCCTGGACAATGAGCAGCCTCCTGACGGCCGATTCGCTGGTGAGTGGCAACCTCTCGAACATGGACTTTCTGATTGGAAGGGATTGGGTGAGGCGCTTTCAAGGTGTCCCATTTAAAACAGCAACTGGCTCTAAAACACTATTGGCTTTGTCTGCTCATGCACATCCTTACTTTGACCCTGCTGTAATTTTGTGTTAATTGGTACAGTGTTAATTGGTACAATGGCCATGCCCTTTAACCCCCCTCTTTTGTGTGTGTTTATGTGTATGTGTGAGTTTATATCATGTATGACTTGTTTCTATCTCTCTGGGTCATACTAATAGCTAAGTTCATGTTCAGTGTCTGCCAGCTCAAAGTAGCTTTGCGTCTCCCTTCATTTCTACGTTCATCCCTTCATTTTTCAGCTCATCTTCCCTCTTTTGCCAGCATATTCTGTTAATCTCCAACTCTTGGTTACTGTCATTCAGAGAAAGCATTCTCTCTGGAAGGACACAAATTAAGCTTTTCACATGATAGACTGTAAAATATGATTCATCATCATCATCATCATCATCATATTTTTATTCATCGCGATTACTACACAGTCCAAAATATCCAATTGGCTCGAAAAGTATTTGGGCACATAAGCTACTCTTAAAAGTGTCAAACTTTCATTTAATTAGATCAGGAGTGATATCACAGACCATAGATATAATGATACCCTTTTAAACTTTTGTGCATAAGGACCTATTATTGTACATAAAATTATCAATGTGTGTAAAATGTTATCTGGAAAATATTTACTTTTTTATTTGTTTTTGTTTTTTTCAATAGAATAAAATAATTGTGATTAGTCTTATGTTTTGCAAATGAAAGGTCAAATTCAGTAAATTTAGGGCCAGATTTACTAAACAGGGCAAATGAGTGTTAAAGCGCAGTTCCATGAAAGCGCAGATGGGAGTGGAAAATTCTGCGGGTGATTTACTGACTAGGTGCACATTAAAGAACACAGACGCAACATCTCATTTCCATAATGACCAGCGAAATCTACCAAGAGTAGCGCAAATTACCGGCTGCCTTAAGACATGCTTTTTTTGGGCGTTAAATAATGCCACAAATTACCAGTGAATTGACGAGCGCAAATCTTAGTAAATTGCGTTTTCATTTAAATACTCTCCTACCATAAAATTACCGATCGTAAGGGAAGCTCCTTACAAAGGTATATTCAATAAGGTGAGTAGCAAAAATTTGTGTCCATGCCTTTTCAGTGCTAATTTCCCACTGCGTATCTTTTGCAAATCCTGACAGTAGTTTTTTAACGCCAAATGAGGGTTTGCGCTGACGCAAGCTGATAGTAAATCTGGCCCTTAAACTTTAAACACTTAAACTTATGTATAATAATATAATATAATATACATTTACTTATTTTTTTTAATTTTTAGACTATTTTTCACTAAATGTTTTTGGGGGGTCCTTGAAAGTATAAGGTTAGAAACCCTGAATTTTTGTGAAATGTTTTGCTTGACAAGTATGCCATGTGGTTTGTTATTTTATGTAATGCAATGACATTCATACATTTTTAAGTGCTACTTAAAGTAATGTGCCCATTCATGTCTTGCTTTTGGCACTTCAAAATTGATGAACATCCTGGTCATTAAAGATAAAAGTTTCCAGTGAAAGTGCAGTTTTTTCTTCAAAGGGACCCTATCATCTTCTCTCATTATCTCTACAAACCAAGCTTCTCCTCCTTCTCTCAATCCGACTTTCATTTTCTGTGGATGGTTGGTTGATTCTCTTGATGTGCTGTAAATGTGCTGTGTTATCTCTCTTTTCTGTCTCTGTTTTCCCTTCCATCATTTCCCATCTCTTTCTCTCTATCTTCCTGGATGTCTGTGGAATGGACAGATGAGGACTCGTGTCCTGTTCAAATTGAGGAATAGGTACGGAGCAAGTTAAAAGGCAATGCACAGAGGTCATGGATTCACAAAGAAGTTTCAGCCTTTTTGCCATTCACTATTGTCATCAGTGGGATTCTTTATGGATTTGCCTTTTGACCTCTGAGGGTTAAAAGAGCCTTTTCATCATTTACTTAGGATGCATGGTGAATATTCAATGCGGGACATTTCAGTTCACAGAAATCTTGGAGAACAATGGATAAAAGTGTCTTGGTTTGCATGACAGACATTTCAGCCAAAGTTTGAAGCAAAAACATTCTGTTCCTGAAGAATGTTATTTAAACATTGATCTCCAAGAGATGCTCCAATTTGGGAAAAAGGTTTAGTGAGGTGTTTTTTTAGTTTCTTCTTAATTTTTTCCAAATCACGTTTCCACAATCCCATCATTATTTTACCCTACATTCATACCTTCTCATTTCTCTTCTTTATTTCATTTGTGTCTTCTCACATGGATTCTTCTGTCCTGTTAGGTCTGTTATACCTCGACGTCTATCGTCATGGACGGGATCCTTTGACTCACCATGCGTCCACCAGCAACATCAACCTGGAGGAGCAAGGGGTCACCAATGAGGCGGCAAATCCCAAGAACAAATCTCATCGTGGACCCCTAGCTGTGTAAAATCCTCAATCCACCCAGTCACAGACCTACTCCAATCCTGAGAGGAATATCTGCCTCTTTCTTCATGCCACCTCCAGCCAAACTCATGCCCACACCAATTACTCATGGATCAAATCCTCTAAATGCAAACCAGGGAGAATTGACTGTGTGGTTTCTCTTCTCCATTGTGATAGATGTCATGTTTTTAGCGCTCTTTTGGTGTTGGCACTTGTGTAAAGCACCACGTTTACACCAACGCTCCACCTCCTCATGCGTACAAATGAAGGGATGACTCAAGCAAGCTCTCCTGGTGAAAAGCTGGAAAATGAGAACATGATGAAGACTCCAACCTCTGATCTAAGCAGCATTTCATGTCAAATTTCATGTCAAGGCTGTGCGACTATGCTTTTTAAAGTTAATAATCAAATCCTGCTGATATGAATCAACATCCCTTTGGATTCTCCTCAGTAATGTCACTGAACGTTTGAATATTTCAACTTGTACTATTGGAAATCTGCCCACAATACCCAAGATAGATGTTTCAAAAGAATACGTTGGAAAAGATGAATTGTCATAATAATCAGTCCTTCACAATATTAACTTCAGAGCAATAACACATATTTGCTCATGTTTCTGCCCTTGTCAGTTTGCTGCAGCTCACTTTGAGCTCTACGTACAGCCCTGCATGTTACAAAGACACAAAGCTACTGAGCTGCCTAAATTGTGTTACACATCTGGCCACGGAGACGCTACTGAACTGCTTACTACCAAGCATTTTCGAACATTTTGTATAGGATATGGAAATGTTGGGGAAAACTTGCCTATGACGTCCACATCTGTGGTCGTAACTCAGATTGCTACTGATGATGGTATGTTAAATGTCATAAAGCTACTGTCAAGCTTTTTGTGTGTTGTTAAAAAAATATATACAGAGTTCTGGCATGAAACTCTAGATGGCGCAGTCCGATAGGTCTAGCTCAATCTGACCTGGTGACATCATTGTCACATGGCAGCTGATTGGTTCTCTCCTGTATCGGTAGCCAATGAGCTCGCTGCTCAATATTCAAATACCTGGCTTTTGTTTGCTG